GCTTGTCGATTGTCGCGCACGTTTTCTTCGAACGTCCGTTGACGATGAGTCTCGCTTGCATTCTTTTGGAACCGCATTTTCGCAATGAGAACAATTTCGATTTATTGCTAAGAAAAATTACTCCGCTTTGTTAATAAAATAAACAAGAGCAACATTGAGAAAGAATACATTTGTGTATTACACAATAGGTTGTGGAATATAAAACTTATTTTTGTGTGAAATGAAGCTTGTTTACAAATTTTCTGTTATCATAAATAAATTTTCAAGTATTATTTTCGCAATGTATTCTTAACGAATCAATTAACGAATGTTATAAATAGAGAGAAGAGTGTCCATCCATTTGAACATCTGGCTGCCTATGCGCGCGCCGAGAATCACATCGCGGTGTGGGCATGGCTCGTCAGCCCTGTAAATAATTTACGCCGCCGTCGAAAACTATTCGATGTCGTGATTGCGCGGTACACCGAACGCATCTGGCAAGCAACCTAGGCGGTATATCATCCGCGGAAGTATGACAGCGGGTATCATACGTCCCGCGGTGATTTATAAATAAATACCCGGCTCTTGCCAAACAATCGTTTCGATCGTGATTGATGCTCGGTGCGGCTACTCTCGCGCGCTCATTTTCGCGCATAAGCGAAAACTCCCGTCTGGCTGGCTAAATTGCGACAGAAAGCAGGACGCGTCTCCCGTCGCCCAGTTGCATTCAAAGCATGTGCGCTCAAACGAAAAATCATGTACGATGATTTCTAGAATCTACACTCTCGCGCGCGCAGAGAGTCGTCAATTATCATTTGTCTTTTTGTCACTACGTTAGTCAACAATGTTAATTCGCTAATGCTTCTCTAAGCGAGATTTCACGTCGCTGTTATCATTCTCGCTTCGCGATTTCCACCATTTCCATATCATCGGCCACTGAGCGCACGCTACGTAAAATCCTCTTAGCATTTTCATTATCTTAGCATCTTAGGGCTATGAATATTTATGGCCGCCTCGTCGCTACGCTCTTTTTAATTTTACCAGACACTACAAACAGCGCGTTATCGCGCACCACTTATCCCCGAGTTTTTTTTCAGGTAATCCTGTACTATGAAAATACATTACACCTACACATAACTTTTCTCATCGGCTATCAATGCGATTAAACACTCCATGCATTATGATGCTTTGCGAGCATTCAAATTGTACTAATTGTATTAAATTTGAGAAAAATTTGATAACATCGTGACTGATTGTATATGGTAATGTGCTTTAATTGTAAACGGTAAATTCATCTTTGTAGTAAGTGGTACTATAGTGTTATGGATAGTAATCTTATGATTTATTCTATTGCCTTTTTTGTTAACAAAATAACAAAGAAATACGGCTAGTTCCGAAAATGATTATAATTTGTAATGGGATCAATTATTCTTCTTCTCCTAGTGTGATTTACAAACCGAACAAATCGCATGAATCATATTGATTTCTTATGAGCATCAATTACCAACAGATCCGCTTGTCGATTAGATACGATGATCGATGCTTTAATAACGAGAAAAATGTCTACAGATACCGGCATGTTGGCTCTCCGCGACCATTGTAACTCAGCGATTTTCACTTCGACAAGTATGTCCCAGTTTTCGATCGCACGAGAGGTTAAATGCCAGAGCACGGAAAATCTATAAACCTAGCTTCTCTCTCTCTCTCTCTCTCTCTCTCTCTCTCTCTCTCTCTCTCTCTCTCTCTCTCTCTCTCTCTCTCGAGCTGACCCTTCTCGGCCCGAATCCTCGGATACTCCGGTACAGCATCCATCGAAACTGCACCTCCCAGGAACCGCATCCACAGTGTGGTCACGAACTCCGCCAGATCTGGAAAACACAGAAAGCAAGTTTTCTGATTGGTAATGTCGATAGACCTCGACGCGTATCACGAGCGCAGAGGCTCGAAAGGACCGAAATAGTTTTCCTCTTAAACAAATGAAAATAAAAAGTGATGGTTCTTCTCAAGATTCTGGAATGTCGACTCACAACACGTCCGCGATCGTAGTACGATGATTTAGTGCGCGAGGAATGTAATACGTTTCATGTACGCTCGATTGACTCAAGACAATCGGGAATTACGGCCGACGTCTCACGATCTGTTTACCTCCGCGCCGACGACTGTTACAATCGCTCGACAGTCGCGTGTATTGTTATTCTTGAGATCACGTGACCTCCACCCGGCGAGACGTGCTCGAGAATATTGTTACGTTATTTATTCAGTGCCTTAATATTCTCTACATATCGTAATATTGACATAACGTATTATTCTGTTTTATTTATAATTCCTCCTTGTCATGAGCCGTCAGGTTGCACAATCTTCGTGACAGCCGCTAACATGATAATAATCCGAGTAAGTGAAGATTTGCATCGAGATAGAAAGAGCTAATTAGCATCTCGAAAAACAGACAATACAATAACACGCCTTTATTAACCCTCAAATGATAAGGTCATTAACGATAACTTCATTCGGTATACAGTCTTCAATTCATTTCATTATGTGAATCTCTGTGATACATCTGCGCCAGAGTCTACTACATTAAGAGAATATTTTTATATAATAAAAAAATTATATTATTATATAATAAAAAAATTTATTCTTGTCATATTGCTGCTTATTTTATCCTAATACAAATTTCAATATGTAGAAAAAAATAAACTCAAAGAATATTCGGATCATATGATATATGACTCACCTTGTTGCTTATTTCCATAATCCACCTTGTCGTTCAAAGACTCAAATATGATAGAAGTGAAAATTGTAATTGTCGACTGGCAATTTTTATAGTCGAATTTTTATTTACGAAGAATCGGTTAATACATTATTTATCGCAGGTTATACACGAGGAACGGACGAATGGCTTCCCGGAACTTTATTCGCGTACAGTCTCTGCGAAATCGATTTTTCTTTAGTTCGGAGTTTGATTAGGAATTCAAGCCTTTCTCGTAGGTCCACATATAATTCTTAGTAACTAAGCTTCCAATTAAATTTCAATTAAAAGTCCGCTAGAACGGTGTTCATTTGAAATTCAATAAAGACGAAAGTTTCGTTACCGATTCCACGCTGAAAACTGTCTCGCTGAGGAGTCGCCGCTTGCGATCGCTCGTTGCCTATGGATTGTCGCTACTTCGGGAATTCTGTTGAATGAACGTATCGACTGCGTCGCTACACGGAAAAAGTAAGTTCGATTGGAATAAGACGGATATTTCTGATAAAATTTGAACGAAACATAAATTCCGCGATTGAAGTTAGCAGTTCAAGTTAACAAGATTTCTGGTTAACTTGAGCAGAATTCTGATCATATTTCCGTCCGTACTTCACTAGAAAATGGTTAATCCAACCAAATTGTTTTTCCCGCTGTAGAAATTCGCAGTTTTGCGAAGATTGCTCGCACAACGACGTTGCCTTGTGCAAAGGATGGATGAAAAGTGCGAAAAGAGTAGGTGGAACTTGCCTGTTTTCGTTTTCGTGTTCATCGGCGCGTGTCGGCGGCATTCGTCGTTCCAACTAATATTATTAGTTTCGTACCGCTCTCGCTCTCTAGATTACGCTTCGCGGATATATCTTCATCCGTATTTTCGTGCCAGCGACACGTCTGTGCAACGCTGGTGGATGTGGGTGGCTAATTAGTCATCGGCGCGCCCGATAATTCGCCCCGAAATCCCACGTCGGCTCGCTACATTCGAATCGTTAAGTCAGAGTACTATTAAATGTTGCGTCCGGATATATACTTTCGACGTTTCTTCCTATGTATTTAGATAATCGATATTTTCCGCGCGCGAATTTTTAAATGTGCACAGTAGAAACAGCACAGTTGGCTCACACATCTAATCACGTCAATCAGATTCAATAGCAAAATGCAGGGCAACTAATTGTATAATTCTGTTTAATTGACTAATTCTCGTTAGTAATGATCGACAATATCCTTTCCGTGCACTGAAAAAAGTCTTTTGTAACAGTTAACAAATGCATTTGGTTAAGCGTTTCAGTGTAACATTTGATAATTAGTTTCAAGTGTGGAGATAATTATCAGATAACCGTCTGACAATAATTACAAAATAACTAGTAATACAAATTTAATTAAATCAGTTAAATTATTTGGTGAATAATATCAAATAATATTTGCTAATAATTACTGAATTTGTCAATATTTACCAAATTATTTGTATTTATCTACACGTGCAGTTGAAACTATTTTCACTAAAACATACGGTGATTATACGGTGATTGACATATTATCCTGGCTTCATGGTCATTAGCAAATCTTTTCTTCAGTCTATAAAGTTTATTGTACGTACAAAAATGACAGGAAGTTTAATGGCAAGTCCGTCGAGATGTATCGCGGTGTGGATCTGTTTTCTTTGCTCACGCGAGTGAAAACAATCGCTAGGAACACGATTATTTCTCTTGGAGATCTTTCTCTGTTTCTTTTTTTTGGGGAGAGGGCTGTTTCTCTCTGAATACACGTATATAATTATCCGATTATATCCGAGAGCGTAACACCGGCTTTCACAAGGCTTCCACGAAAGTGGGCGAAAAATACTCGAGTCGAGTTTAAGATGGAAAGACGGAGGCGCGCGTGTTCGGTCGGTGCCAAGAATAACGGCTTCAAAGCCCTTAAGTCGCAGTACATAACTTATGCAAATGCTTTCTCCGCGAGCGAAGGACAACGAAAAATGGAGAAAAAGAGGGAACGCTCTCTCGTTCGGGAGTCGACTCGCAATTCATCCGTATCTGGATACACACGGAGACGGTCAAAGAGCACCTAAAGTTCGCTTAAACGTAGTTTGTACTTCGCGCGTCGCCCTCTCGTGCTCGCAGTTTGCTCTGGAATCGTGCCGATCTCACCGCGCTAAACGCACCGCGAAAATGAAATTTGATTCTGTCGAGTCAACAGGGCGCCGCGCGACACGTTGCCGTTGCTCACTCTTGCTCCCCGTTCAGTCATTTCTCACGTCTGCGGTATTCTTGGTGTGTTCCAGGCTTCGAGCAGGCCGAAGCGTTGTCTTCGCAAAACAACGGCAGCAGCTTGGATTGCCTCAGTATGATCGTGCAGAGTATCAACGGGCCCGTGCAACCGTCCTCCGACAGTCATTACTCGACGCATCATTGAGGTTACACAGTATCGATATTTAATTCTCTCAGAACGGCCTTTTCCGCCCTAGAGCTCTTACGCATGCTGCTCACGATGTCTCGAGTGAATGCATAAATACAGCCAAAGACTCGGTTATTCTCGTTGCCGAATAACCCCGGTGCGTTGCACAGAGAGTTTCAGAAATCGTCGAAAGTGTACTTTTATTGATCCGCGGATGAGAACGACTCGAATGACTGCTATTTCGATGTCGCTGAATCGATAATCACGCGAATATCTAAAATTCATAGTTAAGAACCTCAATCGAGTTCCGGCGATGCAAACTAATCTTAAAGTAAGATTCCAGCTAGAGCCTCTTGAAATACTTCCTCCCTTGGACGGAGACTTGGTTTAAAATATTTTTCTGTCGACGAGCAATGGTTGTTTGCTCGATTTCAGGAAAACAGGGTCAAAATAGACTCTAAACCCAAAGGATTTCTAGTCTAAAAAAGAGGGTGAAGAGAGAATATATTCTACCTCTGAAACTCTGTGTATATCCTGATGTCGGTGTATGCCGGACACATTCGCGCGAATTTTTGTCGAAGCAGGAATTATGGATGTCGTAGGCGATTAACAGGCGCGGAATACTCGACACCGGATGTATGCAAATAGGTTTCCGATCGTTGTCGATAAATCTATGCAAAACACCGGAGAAGCGCCGTAAAATAGCCAAATATTTTGTCTATACCAAAGGAAAATATTTTCAAAGATAATTCTCTGCGAGCGAAGCTTAAGATATTGCAGGCAGAAGGTAATAAGGGAGGATGAGAATTCGCGGCGAGATTGTATTTTTAAACAGATTTCTAATTGATTCTTCCAATGTGAAAATTTGTCATGGGATTGTCGTGTATTATTCGTTGCGATTTTTTTGCAATTATCGCTTTTTAAACGTCGACTAAGTTGAGTCAAGACTCCTGAATGAAATATTCGCGTTAGTGTGTAATGATAATTTCTTGATTAATCGGCAATGATAGTGTCTCGTTTCTTATTCGCGTTCTCAAATAACTCGAGACTTGGCAATTCTATCGTTATCGAACACAATTATGTGCTTAAACATGTCACGGTGCTTGAAGTAAACTTATTCACATGTTCGATACGGACTTCTGTAGAAAATCGATCCTCCTTGATATTTCTAATTTTTGCAATAGTCAACCGTGGCAAGTGTGACACGCGGAACGATGTAGGCGCTGAAAGCATCATCAGTCACGCTGTAATCGTATTTATCTCCAACGACAGAGGGTATATTTCTTTCTTTCCGTGTCGTCGCCATTTTAATCTCTCTCTATTTTACATGGAGCTTTTTCTTGATTATTCGCGACCATCGTCGCGAGGCCACGCGCGCTTACGTCGTTTTGCATCCCCAAGCCCGAAATCACGAGTTCAGACTTTCGACGTGGCGAATGAGCCGTCTGCCTTTCGGAAGTTTTACGAGAGACGCCTGTGTCTCGACACGCTTAACGATTCCCCCGGGAACAAATCGCCAAACTTTTTATGTGCCTGCGAGCGAGCGAGCGAGCGAGCCACCACGTTGGTGTGTTAGCCTTGTTGATACCGCGATGAATGTAAATATGTGGAATGATGAAACAATAAAGTGAGGAGCAACGGAAAAGAGCGAGCAGTCGTGCGTCTACGTTCCTTCTGTTCCTTCGTTTTCGAACCGCGTCGGATCCGCGCTTCTTCGCATACCTTTTAACGAGCAGCCGTCAGATAGCGGCCGAGAGTCATTTATCAGACAGCGGATAATTAATCAGCCGGCTAACCGTCACCGCGCTATTAAAGACCACATATTTTAACGCTACGTCTTGACGGTTACGTACTCATCGTACGTGATTAATGACGTATCGGCACGTTTGCGAGCGCTTAACGCGTGTCTGAACATCTAAACGCTAAACTCTCGGTCAGCCTCATCTGTCAGATTTTTGCGACTTCCCGATCAAGTGCGTAAGCAAATGTGCGAGAACCACAATTTGCGCACGAATGTATCGTTGAGAGCGCTATTATTTGTTTAGTGCATTTTTTAACGGTGCCAATTTTTATATAAAGACCGAGTCGACTAACGTTAGATTGTCTTTGTTGGTTTATTAGAGGAAATCGTGTGAGGTACAAATTGTGTGTTTGAAAGGAATAAATATCGTGGTCTGCCAATCCTTCCAACCACACACATTTATTCTTTATATATTTTTCTCTTTTTCTCTTTCTCGTTCTATCTAATAATCTAACTAGTTAAAACTAACCGGCGTTGCTCAGATTGTCATAAAGTATCAAGGGGATGAAATCAGGGCGAGGGGGTAGGATGTCCAGGTTCCATGTAGTCTATATTTTCCGCAGTGTTCTAGAGGATTATGCAAAATTTAGTCCAGATCGGTCAAAGGATTCAGATGTATGTAGGGAATAGGCAGATATTCTCTATTTTATATGCATATATATAAAATAATAATCTAACGAATAATAATCCAAAAGACAACAGAGGTATTTTAAAATCTAACGTTAGACTCGGGCTCATCCTGTGTATATATTTGCAATATTGCATTACAACATATACACATGCCAATCGAATCCGCGCACATACAGTAACGAAGACGCGTTTTGAGAGGCGCCGGAGAGATTGTCAGAGCCGCTGTGCCTACATTTTTACGATACGATGCCACTTCGGCTCCGCCACCCGAGGAAAATGGACGTAAAATGTCAGCTGTCGCGCCACCGCTTCCACTCGAAGTGTCACTTCCTCTGCGTTCCTACTTAAACGGAAATCTCGAGTGCCTCGGGTGTCGTAAAAAAAAAACTCGGCCTCCTATCCAACGCACGCTGGTACTGCGAGACGCGACAGCGATTTACCGTGAATCGTATTAAATCGTTTAGAGCGACCCTGTTCTCGATCATTCTGAGGCGCAACTTCTTCTCGCGAGGGCGAGTGTTGCACGTGAAGAAAATTGCGATTCCTCCGTCATATCGCTTCCTACGATCATGACGTCGATAATACTCACGAGCAAGCGCTGAGAACGACAAGAAGAGAATGATTCATAGTAATATGAAACTCAATCGTAGGATGCAGCCCTCTATGGATCGTGCAACTCGCAATCTCAGCTCTTTCTCGACGTTTACATCTGCTAATACGCTTCTTCCAGTGTCCTCGCCACATACCGCAAAAAGTTAGATAAATTCGAAAAGAATCTCGTGGAAATCTATTATGTGATATTGTAAATTCAAAATCTTTAGGGCTTTTGATGAAGTATCTAGAAGAGTGAATTTTTTGGAAGCAAATAAGGAAGCGTGAAGAATTGTTCAACACCTTGTACGCGTTTTTAAAGGAAGTACTCTTAATGCCAAGACACCGAAAAAGTTTACCGTGGAAATGCATTTTGTGAAGTTGTGAATTCTAATCTTGGAGTTCTACGGTGAAGCATTTTAAAGAGTGAATTTGTTGGAAGTACATAGCGATAAGAGAACGTGAGACATTTTTTAACGTTTTGCCCGTTTTTAAGAGAGATGCCCTTGGCACTAAAATACTGGGAAAATTTACATTAAAAAAATCATGGAAATCCGTTTCATGGAATCTCGAGTACTTGGAATCTTTTGCCTTCTGACGAATTGTTTTGAAGAATGAATGCCTCATCTCCTTGTTTCGTTAAGTAGCGCTAATTTCTCGCAAAGAGATGATAGCGTGGGAGATTTTGGGACGGGTTTTTACAGGAGGACGTTACGCTATCTTGCCGCTGAAGAACATTTGCATCGCGCCGTTATTCGTGCGACCCTTTATCGCTTAACATGGCTGTTTGACCAGGTCACCGACGGCCGTGTCGCCGAAGACAGCCGAAATTGCCGACGATTTATGAGAGACGCTCCAAGGACCTCGTCGTCGTCGTTGGCTAGCCGTGAAAGCGGCACGGGAAATTGGAGCGGAGAGGAGTCGACCGGACATACTCCGGCTAGTAAATCCGAAAGCTTGTCGTCGCACGACTCCGCCGGAATATCGGCACGTTTCGAAAACAGGGCACGTCCCTCGAGGCACGTCGAATGCATCTGCGCCCATCCGTCAGGCCGCGCTATTAACGGCAAATTTAGAATCGGGACTTCTTATGGGGATTCATTCCTCTTCGCGCGCCTTGCTTTTCCCATATCTCGTAAGTACCCTCATATATATATATATATATATATATATATATATATATATATATATATATCGCCGGTGTTTTACTGGCGGTGATCGTCACACGATCGTCGACGTCGCTCAGCGCTTTTGAAACATCCTAAACGCCATGTCCTCCCAGTGGACTAACTTTACAAGCATGCAGTAAGCTCCTTCGTAGTTCACGAAGCCGTATGCATCATTAGCGCGCTCGAACCTTTGCAACCCTTTATCGAAAGCTACATCGACCTAGTCGCAAGGGAGAGCCCAAGTTGAAATTTTAGCCTCACTTTCGACCTGAACTTCCTAACATCTGTATGTTCTAAAGGATCAATATATGTTCAACACATATAGAAAGTGAAATCCCGCTTAATGTCTCTAAACGATAAGGAACGCACAAAATGCCACTTGTAGTTTCTAAAGAGGATCTCTCAGCAAAGTTAGTAGGTTATATAGAGTCAAAAAAGATTTATGTAGGCTTCGGGATAGGCGTAGGGATCAAGATAGGCGTTGAATAGAACGTTGAGGCCGAGAATAGGATCGAAATTTCGGCTCAGGAAAAAAAGAAGAAGACGTGTCCCTTGACGTCACAGTCTCTATTCTCTTTCGAAGAAGTCAGCAATTTGTTTTTTCTCAGTTCTCCAATTAACCGATTCAATTCGTGCGCCTGTAATCGCGTACACCTAAGGATGTACGCGCCTGTGCGATGGTACCTCGTGTTACTTAGTTGCGAAGCGAGGACCGAGCAAATTGGGAAATTATTTTCCTCCGGAGCTCTTCGATCACTTGTCACGCGGTACAACGACCAGATTCGACCAGCCGGTTGAGGCTGTTTGTTCGCACGGCTGTTCCTGCCACGCGCATATATTTTCCGAGGCGGATCCGCGTCGAATTTCAAAGCGCTTCCTCCCGCCCTGTCTTCCCTCTGGTCAAGTAATCGCGCGCGGAAGCTTTTACCGTGCGTTTAATACGTCGGAAAGCGTTTTCCAGATGCTCTCCCTCGTAAAGCGTTGAAACGCGAGCGACGTGTTTACCGGCGAGGCCGGCTTGTCTCCAGCTCGCGGATAAAACGGGTTTGTTCGCCCCCGCCACGGTGTAAATCGTCATCGCTAGCTTTCCGTACAATGCACAACGGCGAACGCGTAATTACGTATTTAATCTCGCGAACGGCTCTGCGTTCTTTACGTTGACAGCTTTGAGGGAATATTCTGACCGTGCAGCTCTTACAACTGTGCCGTGTCTCTACACGAGCACTCTCGACATTAAAACACCGCGAAAAATTTCATGAACTCGGCAAGCTCGTGGCAAACCATTTCGCGAGATTGTGAATTCCGAATTCTTGGAATTTTTGTAAAAGAGACGTGAACCTTCTATAATATACATTTTGTCGCATTGTAACATTGATTTATTGGAAATATAAAAGAACAAGAAAGCACATGAGGAAGGACGAATAAAATGGGTCGATTTTTGCCTAAAAGTGTGATCTAAGTTACATAGTCTTCAATTTTTTTTGAGTCGTTGAATGGTTTTAAAAATCCGAAACGGTAGCATTCGTTTAAAAATCCGTAGGAAAGTGGTCAAAATTCGTCTCAAAGGAGTCAAAATAAATAATTTTTAATAATAATTGAGTTAGTGACAATTTTGTTCCAATTACTTAATTATTTATATTATAATTTAATTTAATAACTTTTTTAATTGAAATCTAAGAAAACACTTCAGAAATATTAAATCTAACATGGTGACACCAATATGATATAAAAATTAAAGAAGATAGTCAATTTTTTTGTTCAAAGAATCTTAATTTTCCTCAGATGTGCACCTGCAAACCTTTGCTGTTTTGAGAATGTTAAAGTGGCTAATGGTGGACTTTCACACCATTCTAGAGGTTCTATTAAAGAACTTCAAGGAAATTTAGCCATTTAAAAATTTACGACCCAAAAAACGTATAACCACGTGTATAACTTACATTACACTATTTAGGCAAAAATTGACTTATTTTACCTATCATCCTTTTCAACCCGCTCCTTGGAAATAGAGTACGATCAAAGTTGATTTTTCTTTTTTAAATTGTCACGTAACAAATAAAAAAAAAGAAACACGTCTGATCGGAATTATATAGCTCATCAGTGATCATAATAGCGAAAAGATTAATATGCTGTCATTTGCAAGTAATACGATCTGTTCGACTTGGTGAAGCAGAGTCCGCCGATATCACATGTAGTGTATGTCGCGTTGTACCGTAGTATATGAGTATGCAGATAGTTGAGCTAACATATATCGCGACTCGACGACACACGAGGCTCTCGTTCAACTTCGTCGTAACATCTGTTGACCCCCTGCAACGCGCGCGACCCTTTAAACTCCTCTCCTTGGGAACTTCGATATCTCTCGAGGGTCCCTTCGTTTGCCGCCTTCGGTAACAAGTGCGCACTCCAGCATCATCCACCACCGTGAAGATGATCCGACGTAACGCCATGTATCGGAAATCTTTCCTCGCGCACACACACACACACCCACACATACATACACCGAAGAATCGAGAAGTATCGGCTCGAAAAAGATCAAGCCGTTGAGCAACGCAAAATACGTATGTATGATATTATTCATTCATTATTAAAGTGGAAGACATATACAAATGATGTGTTTAGTATCTTCGTATACTTTTATCTCTTTCCGCTACAAATTAATTCACACATTTCATTTAGACAATGATTAGTGATTGGAAGTCTTTTACAATATAAGGAAATGTTTTGTAATATAGAAATGTAGTTTTAAATTAATTACAGCAATAGACACGTTGGACGAAAATAATTAGTGAGAGAGGTTACGATGCTTTTAAACGAGATAGGGGAATTGTGTACGTTCGTGTATGAGCGATCAGACTCGGCGTTCAATCAATTTAGAGAACTACCGGAGAGGCAATCCGTCGAACATCTAGAGATCCGTGGAAACAACGTCGGCGGTGTTAGTTTTTGCGATTTTCCAGACGATATTTTTAGAACTCAACGAATAGCTGTAATTAGGGGGGAGGGCAATAAAACGTATGCGGGAGTTACCCAACATTAGCCAAAAATATCCATGTCGCGAGTGTAAGAATAGTTTGGGACGACATAAATATTTTCGGAGTTACTGACCCGTCAAAACTCCTCTGGATCTTCGTCGAGCGGACCGTAGTCTTTGTAAATATCGGCATCTCACGTGATCTCTACGTGAAAAGTAGACTCTAATTCTGGCGCTCGACGTATTCGTGTCGTTCCGGCATTCTTTAATCCCACGACACGCAATCTGGATTTTTCTTCTACAATAATTTTATTCGAATATAAAGATCTCATGTTGTTGAACAGTCAAGCAATTGGAAATGAAAATTTTACACTTGCACGGTGTTATATGCGAATATAATTATTATATGAGGTGTTATTGAAAGTGCATATAATTATATAAAAATAATCGATTTGTATCTCTCTTCACCTCGTACTTTTGAATCAGCTATTGCCATCTTGTGGCTGAAGCTTAAAACTCTCGGAGCGAGTCGAAAGTATTCTGCTGAAAATGATATTGATGTGGCGTGTTATTGAACGACATAGATAGTTGAGTCCTGAAACGTTACTTAGGAGATCTGTCGTTGTTGTCACACGCGTAACCGCGTGTGGAAGTAATTCATATTTCAACGTATAGATCAGCAATTCGCGAACTTTCTATTCATATGATTTTACATATATCTGTTATATGTAATTAAAGCTACATGATTTCTCTCACGTGTACACTAATTGTCTCAAATGTTACCTTCTCTCTCGGATTAATTTACAATCGTGTATTAAGATCTAGTAATCGCGACAACACAACATGCGCGCGCCATTATTTAATAAATAATTCCTTGCATTCCTCTTTGAGATCGTTGGTCTCTGAGAAAGCCTAACCTTTTATTGTGTAACATATACAGATTATCACAACAGTTTTTGTAGTTGTAAAATACATTATTTACGTACAACTAACATTCTATTAATTCACAAAATCGAATTTCTCCCGCAGCACTATTTTGTAAGATATAGCCGATAATATTATATAGAATATTCAGATATTACATGAGTTTTGTTATATTAACGTTGTGGTGTGAATCACTCGAAATTATCGAGATGATATCGAACCATCGGTTCTGTTATCGTTGAGCGCTTGGTCGCCACATTCATTGAAACACGTCGTACACGTTCTCCTGCGTGTTTAGTATTTTTTCTACGTAGACCGCTGTGTAGACGACAGTTGTGTTTACGAATTGGGAGAATCTTCTCGAACATTTCTGGGGTGCGTGCGAACGAGCAGATCGTGCCGTCGCGCGACGTGACGATTCTCATTGCCTAGCCTACCGTTCGCAAGCACGGACACGACCAACCGCTAGCGAACATCTCAGTGAAACATTCGTAAAGCAACAGCAGCGTACGACTGCAGACATTTTTATGAAAAGTATCGGAGATTTAAATGGAGCTCTCGGCATTATAATATTTTGTATATTGATAATTTTAATGATAAATTATAACATGAAGATGGAAGAAACAGTGGCACTGATTAAATCATGCATCATTTCGAAGAAAGGAGGCGTCCCGGTCGAGGACTTAAATGGTAAGTACTATTACCTGGTTTCTTAGCGCTCGATATTATATTGAACTGGATTCTCGCGCGGGCATTCGCGTAGATTTCTCGCGTTACGAAAGAAGGACACTGTTGACTCTATAATTGAGACTGTAAGCTTATTTGAATACACGAGAATACTGTTTTCGCGCGCAGATGAATTTCAAAATCTCGTCGGAGAGTCAATTCCGTATCGTAGACTGGGATTTTCAAATCTCCGCGCACTTTTACGTACCATAGACGGTTTGGAAACTACCTGGAACCAGTTTGGCGAGCAAACACTGCGGATAAACGATTCGAAGATTTCGCATATCGACAGGCTCATATGCAAGCAAAGAAAAGATTATTCCAAGACAAAGGTATGTCGAGTAATTCGCATTTCATAGTTCGAAGAGATTTTGAACGATAATTGCGAAGATCACGCAAGTTAAATTAATCGCGTTATCTGACATATTTCTTTCCTTCAGAATAAATACTACAAGCAATTCTCAAGGCAGAAAACCAGCTTAGAGTATATCGATGAGCGCAAAGATAAAATTAGGAAGGTGTGCAATAGCAACCGCGTGAATAAGAGAATGCAGAATCTCACTTATCATCGTGATATGAACTTTTTCGGCAGTGGTAATACATTTGGTTCCTATATTCGTATTATATATTATATATTATATTATTCTTAAATAAGTGTAATTCTGCTTGCTTGTGTTTCGTAAATCGCAAACGTGTCGATTTCTTCCAGGCAGAGATTTGTCGTTTGAAGAAAATGAAGAGAATCATCATCCTGTAGTAATAGAAACAAATGAGCTTAAGAACGTTGTAAGTTCATTCATAAAGCGTATGAATTTTTGATTTGTTTCTTTCGTGGTGAGATTTTTTTGGGCATTACGAACAATTTCGTGTTCCAGGCTAATATATACGAGCCGGTCGCAAATGGCCAGCAATTAATTGGCGACGACTTTTTTTTGCAACTCGCGATTCGAAATCTTCATCTTCCAATTTGGCGATACAAAGGTGAGAGAACTTTTATTCTCATGGAAATCTACATTGTTTCTATTGCAATATCTATCTTGTTCAGAAAAATTTCTATTCATTATGCTTCTTTCTATGAATTATTGTTACTTTATTAAATATAAGATAATTGATGATAACAATGATAGAGAATAATTAATGATTGTTGACAAGATGATGATATAAGATAATTAAGACGAATGAAAACAAAAGAATTAAACTATAATAAAAATTCACTAGACAAAAGAGAGAAACGCGAGCCGAAATGAGAGTATGGAATTTATGTTAGTTTCGGTCTTACATTTTTCAGATAGTTTATCGCTGCATTGTGGTTTATGTGTCTCCGGACAAACCATAAGTGACTGCATTCGCGCATTAAAGAACATCAGTACTATCTCCAATCGTGTCGTAATCTTGCTGGGATCGGTCGATATTTATAACGTAAGCAAGTCTGATTTTATATCCTGATGCTTCACGACTATCGTGCGAGTAAGAATTTGTTTATTATCTAAGAAAATAAGAAAAAAATAAGTCTATTAAAGAAGAAATAAGACAGGACTCAATTTGCTCAAGTTTTGAGTCTTCTTATTGTTTATTTCTAAAAAAAAAGAGAATAAAGCTGCAATTAAATATTCAATTAGGGTGCCACTTGCGACGAGATGATAAACGATATGACCGAGCTCTTACAAGTTCTCCAGTCCAGATTTCATCTCTCCAATTCGGCTATTACTATTTGCACTATTCCGCCTTTGGCTAACATCGCCATCCATGCCTATAAGACCAAAAGTCTAGCGTTGTTTTGCTTCAATAACTGGATTAGATCTTTGGTTGACGACATATCCAAAAGGGATTCGTCTTCGAGAGGATATCGTATACTAGATTTGTTCGAAAATTTTAGCAACGGAATGTACACTACGGAATTTGACTGGTTTCAAACGTAAGTATATCTAATAATTTAACAATAATCTGTTCACACAAAACTTATACTTATATATCGCATAGTCTCTCTCTTTTATGAATGCAAAATCGAATTTGTCTCTTTGACACTTAAGCTCGTTGTGGATGCAAATGAATATAAAATGTTTTCTTTATTGAGCAATAATTGTTATTATCCGATGATTAAACATCCAAACATTTATCAATCGTTTTCAGTCAAGCACGTAGAGTGTCGGGCACCAAACATTCCTATGTCCTGTGGAACAATAAAGGGCGGAAGCTAGCTATGAACCTCATCTGCGAAGAAAAGTATACGGAACAGTCCAGAAGTCCTAACTTATCGCTGACGCTATAAGCTAACAAGGATCTTCTGTAATATGCACGGTAGATTACAAGGAAGAGAAGGGTAGATATACACAGGAAGAGAAAGGGAATGGTATACCACGGAGGGCCTTATTCGTCCAAGTGGCGAAGAACGCTGTATTGAGGATGCTCCGAGGTGTACTGCTCTGTTTCCTCCTACGGAAGTATATAACATGATAACGAATTCATTCTCGTATTAATATATTCTCCTGAGTTCCTTTCGTTCGTGTATATTGTCTGTATAATTTAAAAAAATTCATCTTCGCGTATTGAGGCATTAGAATTTCATTCGTTCGTGTTTCAAGAATATAAACGTATGTAATAGGGGAGAAAGAGACGGGTCTAGATTACATGTAAAATCAGGTTTATAATCTTCAGTTTATATAGGAAGACTACACGTACACACATCTAAATAACCTTCGGTCGCGACCGCGATGTTTACGAACGACAACTACAACCGCACGTTTGACATCTTCGAGAAAGATTAAGGGATATTTCAACGCTCGTGCTCTTAACTATAATATCAGAAAAGTGTAGTACATTTTTACAATCAATATTGCGGGTGATTTAAAAATGGCACTTGTGCTTTATCTGAAAGTATGAATTCTTCCCAATAGCAGGAACACACGAGTGAACCTTAATCGCTATCGTTGCTGCGCGTGTGCGTTTACGATTAATTTCTTTGTGAAGTAAATCTTACCAAATTCATGTACGTGAACGCGATTCATTACACATTTGTGATATTAATTTTCGAAGGTTCATGATTTAAGGTTCATGATTAAGTAACATTCAATTAATACTTCAGGAAGTAATTTGCAGTTTTTCAAATACTTAATTTTTCAGAGGTGATATAAAATTATCAATTTTGACAAATTAATAATTATATTTCATGAAATGCGAGCAAATGAAATTTAATGGTTGCAATCGTGTAACATAAATTTTTGAGGAGAGATGAGATAATGTTAAAAGTAAATGTTTCAGCGATATACCACATGCACATAGAATATGTCATGTGTATAAGCGTACATAATAATGTGTAATTATAACTTATTTGAGTTATTTAATTACTACATAGATATATAATATTTAAAGCAATTAATTGTACATATACAATTAAATGATTGAATCGTTTAATAACTAAATTAAATTAAACAATTGTATAAATAAATTTAGTTATAAAATAATAGGTTTCAATTGTGAATAATTGAACAGGCAAATTTATTGATTTTTTTAAGTCAATTCTTTGATTAAGGCTTAATAAGAATAGCCTTCTGGTATAATTCAGGAAACGAAATTTACACACACAATTCAGTACTTGTAATTCAGGTAATATTGCATAGGAAATACTACATTTTCACATCAATCTTAAATAATTTTCGGGAGAATTGCGAATCGTTGATCTTTGCGATAGAAAAGCGTTTATATAGAATTTTTTAAAAATGTACATGTAGTTTCAGTATGATTTGTATACTTTATTCTCAATGCAGTTTGTGGAACGCAGACGATGGTCCATCCACAATGAGAGAACTTAACTTCTGGGAATTAATCAAAAACAAGTTTTCTCATTGAGTCATTTGCATTCTAAACTGCATTGAGAGAAGAAGTATTCGAACCGTGTTGAGACCAAATACGCAATAAGTTAATTTGTAATTGTAATTGAAGTGAAAAACTTTGTCATACATATATACACACAATAGAGAAAATCGTAACTACATTTTGTAATTGACATAATAAAAAAATCAATAGAGAGGCAAATAGGAAATTGTAAAAATTATATATTTGGAATGCAAGTATTGTGATCAATAAATCATCAATACCTATAATTCGTCTACTTCTATTTTCCACTTCTACTTTGTATTTTCAATTTTTTTTACAAAGTCAACGGAAAATATAAAATATAATATATTTGCGTTCACTATTATTGAAATGTCCTTCTGGATCTTATCATAAATCTAAGCGAACGTGATCGTAAGCAATAATTACTGATCGCTCTGAGCGCTCTCTAAGTCTCTTATTCCGCCTAACGCAGCCAATGGAACATGGACAATAGCACGCACACATTAATATTCTGTGACATAGGATCAGTTTAGGTTAGCATTGTTGACTACATAACAAGTAAGACGAGCTAGAATGAGTGGAGAAAGCAACGAAGCAGTATACGTGTGATCGTTTGAAGAATATCGTTATAAAAGGTAAGAATAAGGACAAAATAATAATTATAAATCTTAAATTGCTCCCAGATATAATATCAAGACTAAGGAAGCATGGTATTCAAACATTAAGGTTTGAAACATATATCCATATATATATTTTACTTTTTTAATAGAAGGATGTCTTTATAATAATTCAAATATTTGACACAAGTTTCTTCTTATTACTTTATTTTCTCATTTATTACTTCAATCATTTCACCATTAGGAGGTTAGGAATATAACGGGTCGAGAGAGTTTGGCACTTTATGTACAGTGCTCCATTTTCTTGGCCTGTTTTCAAGGTCCCTATATTATATACACGCCATGCCAAACTCTTCTCGGTGTAGGAAGTGTTGCTCCTTTTCTACACTTTAATATACATTTGTTTCGGCATTTAGCATTAATATCAGTATTGGAAAGTACATAAACAAGATATTTCGTCACCTAATCTCGTCATACATTAACGGGTAGATTAGTCCTAACACGTGATGTAATTGAAATATTAGAATTTTGTAACTATACGCATATATATTATCGATTTTATATTAATTATTTATTTATTTATTCGGAAAAGAGAGAACACGCGATGTATAAACGTAATTTTAAATATTAATAAATATAAGTTATATATTTTATGTTAAATATGAGTTATATAGTTATATATTTTAAACGTAATTTTTCATTGTGATAGCTTTACTTTAATGAAACGAATAGTTTATCGGTTAATATATGTTTTGCTAAACGCAAAATACTTTGTGAGTTGTATGCAATATGTGTTAAACCACATTGTGTAAATACGTAGACCACTAAAAAATATTTAACTTCGAGTAATTGAAACGTAGTTATAAGGAAAATAAAAAAAACAATGAGAGATTATGTGAGAAAATATGTGTTCCGTACATTGTTTACTATTATAATACTTTTATTGGTTATACTTTTTATTTTTTATTATATTTTATCTTAGAACAAAGATTTATATGTTTGTTTCATAATATTATACTATATATCACACAACATAAAGCAAATGTATACTAGTTATTTACTTTGAAAACAAAGTGACAGAACTTGAAACCCTTCTCAGAAAAATTTAAATGCAATAAATACATAACAAATTGATCAAGATACTTGTAGATTTTAACAATTTTTAAATTTTACTTATATTACTTTCAATATAAATCAATATAATACTATATAAATGACTTAAAAATATGTGTAGGTAAATATGAATATATTTCCCAAATTGTCTTATTCAAACGGGAACGCGGATTTTGTTTCAACTAAACAGTTTGAGCATAAAAGCGATGAGAGAGTATTTTGTACGAAAGACAATTTAGAGGAATCTTTACATGAATTATCAGAGGTAATAAAGTGTGGCCGACAATTTTGTTGAAGTGTACAGAGAAATATCTAAATATACCGATCAATAAATCAATACATAAATCTATAGGAACTTTCGTCATTTGGTATTGCATCGGTAACTCCAGACAACAATGACGATCTGCAAAGTGCAGAGTTATTAAAACAGCTATCTGTAAAAGTAATAAATTCTACTTGGAATCTGATACATAAATATAGATCATTAATGCAGCTATACGAGAAGACAGTTCTTTCAAATCGCAAGACTTGTAATGATAATGTCCACCTGAAGGTAAGTGTCCGTTGTTTAAAAGGATTATTCTATTTCTGAGACAAATTGTTATTTCAAGCGTCACAGGAAAATGGTTGGTAAGCTTGTGAAAATAACATATCGTGAAAAAAATTTGCCAACAATATAATCGCAAAAATCTTAATAGAATCAAATAACGCGTCTGAAGGAAGATTTGCAAAAGAACGAACAAGCGTTGTGCGAGGCGGAAAAGAAAAAGAATAAACTGCAAGACGATTTAAAAGACGTGTCGCGCGATCTAAAGCATATGAAAGAAGAGGTAGTTAGATTTGCATAGATTACACGTTTACGTATTAGTTCGAATAATTCGCATAGCCCAGACATAAACTGTTTCGCACTCGTAGACACAGAAATTGAAGAAACAAGTTCAATCCAAAGACGTTCAACATAAACACGAAATAAACAGAATTTTGCAGATTAACCAAAAATTGCAGAACCACTTGCAAAAGCCCACCGGTGAGTAGACGACTTTATTTAAATATTGTAGTTTCTGCGTTAGAGACGTGACCGTTTGATTTTATTTACACGATTGGTACAGTCAGATAGTCAGGATGAATAATAACGCACATTATATTTTTAACACGACGTGACGCAATTGTAATCATAATTGTTTTATATGTCGCATGTAATTCATAGAATACGTTATAATCGTTCTTTTGATTTGCGTACGTGTCTTTGTAGTTCAGAGAAAAGTCTCGCCAAAAACACAGACGGATCAAGAGAAGGAATTGGCTTCGTACAAAAAAACCGTCTGTCGTTTGGAAGAGAACAACAGGCAGATGTTGGAAGAAATCAATAAACTAAATGAGACTCTGGCGTTACATAAGGAGGCAATCGATTTGCAGATGCTAGCGTCTGGTGCATGGACCGATGTGAATGAGTAATTATTGACTTTAATTGGTGCTTATAATGTACTTTGATATTGTAAGAGAATAATGAAATGTGCCTTGGCGCAGTAAAAAATAGAGCAAAATGTAATCAAAAGTAGTACACGCGCCAGGGCTTAAAACATATTCATGTGCCCCGTAAAATCTTAATAATAATAATAGCAACGTTTGTTACAAACACCGAGCTGAATATTTAATTTGCATGCATCTTATAGATGCGATTGATATAGATTTTATGAAAGATTTTTTAGACATTTGAAATTTTTGTCATAAAATAAAGATACTTTGTGAATCCCGAATATATGTGTATATGTGTACGAGTTTATTTCGCGATTTAGACGCAGACCCATCTTCTTCAACGATATCTACTATATACACTGAGAAAAAGAACATCGAAAAAATAAAAAAAGATTTATTTGATGGATACCGATTTTCTTAAATCCAAATTCTTTTTGTTTAAAAAAATAAACAAAATGTTTTCTTCAAAAACAACGGTTTCGAAAAAATATATATTTCCTCGTGCGAAAAAAAACTTTTTTCAATGTAAAAATATGTACACATCAGTACAAGTAAATATGTTATTAGTACTGATCAAATAAATATTTTTTTATTTCTTAAATATTTGTTCTCTCTGTGTAATAAACAATCGATAGAAACGAGCCAGCCGCTTCTTGCAAACTAGTTTTATTCAACCAAGAGATTCTCTCGTGGATTATATCGTTAAGATCATTTTGTTTTTGCGGTTTACATCATCGCGATGTGAGATTTAACGCGAAAAGGCGTAATATTCAAGGACGAGTCATCGAAACAGCGATATCAACAGGCACCCAACGATGAGGAGCGAGACATGAGCCGCGAAATACGGTGCCTGTCCGCTGATCTTCAGGCATTTGCAGTTGCCCGCTTTGCAGACCGTGTTGTTCTGATTTAGGAAGGACCCCGGCATGGCGGGCCGATTGTCCCGCGTGAGATAGACTATTTCGTTGGGCAGCCGGTTGTTGATGCTGTCGATGACGTTGGACGACAATCTGAGGGTACTCTTGCCGTCCGCGCAAATGCCGTGTACCGTGGCGGTGGCTGCGTTCAGGCTCATACTTGAGTCCAAGAATACGCTGTCCTTGACGGCCACGTTGTCGCCCAGGATGGACACCAGATTCGACTTCTGCAGCCTGAACTTGGAGTTGATGATCTCGATGATGTGGATGTTGGTGAAGGTCAAAGATGTTGTGATGTTCCACAGCTCGCTGTCCATTATGTACAACGTCCTGCCATTCTCCGGCAGATTCAGCTGGTTCACGTGCTCGATCGTGACGTTCCTCATGACAAAGTGTGACACGTTAACGTAACTGAAGTTCTCCTTGAAATCGATGATGTGCGTATTCTCGATTATCAACATGTCGATGCTCGTCAAGGAGATGAACGTGTGACTCATGATCGACGGTATCCAGCCGATGTCCGACAGTTTGATCATCTTCATCTTGTTCGACGTGATGTAAACGTCGAAGTTGAGACTGTCGCTGATGTTCTGGACTGTTATCTCCTTGAGACCGGTCGCCTCCGGTAGACTAGAATAATGAAGGTTCACTGACCTGCATCCCGCGATGGTTACGCTGACAATGTTTATATAATTGTACTCGTCTGGCAGTAAAAACTCCTGAAAAAAGAATATCGGAAACGCGATATCAGCAATCCACCGGATTGTTTCGCTCAACCGGCTTTTCGTCCTCGAAACCGACAGATCAATCGCCGCCGTTCGCGAAAACGTTTGCGATTCTATCTATTTCGCGATTGTGTCGTGTGGGGATTTTCGTTCGCGCACGGAAACGGGAGCGCGATGAGTGCGACGAGCTTATCACGATCTCCGGCGCGAAGGTGTCGCTGACGGTCGGTACCTCGTTTCCGATGCAACTGCACATAATCCTCGTCCCATTGTGAATTTTGCATTGTTCGTTGATGTTATTCGCCGACGCGGACAATACCATGAGTATTACAACGAGTAGGCTCGCCCCCATATTCGGCGTCTATACATTCGCACATGGAGGTTTCACCAGCAGCACCCCTCGCACTGAAATTAGAGAAGGAAGTGTTTATACCGCAGTGATAAAGAGCACACGCGATGCACGCTGGGTTATTTCATAGTGAGTCACCCTTCAACAATAAGCGCAAATAATTGGGTCTTTCTTCTTTCGCGAAAACTGTCCTTTCGCGGAGCTGCGGAGGTTCGTTAGAGGTGTCCTTTCATCCTCCAATTACACGCAAATCATTGTGGATGTGCAATAAAAATTTCATGATAATAAAGCAATCGGTAGAGAAAAGAGACGTACACGGTGGAAAGAGAAAAGATCTCTTTGCTGCGATTGATCATGGTTTGCTGAGAATGCGTTTGTCACTGTAACTAAAAATTTTCCCGCTGTAACCAAAACTTTTGCCACTGTCACCACCACATCGGTGTTTCACAGCTAAATATATATCTACTGGCGGCTATACCTTTAAGTACATCCATATGTTACAACGAGATTTAGCTGCCACGCACAGATTCTTGCTGCCACAGCTAACTCTTTTTCTCCTTGCAGCTTCGTAAGAATTTTCTTGTGCGCTGTCGCGCGGTAATTTGGGATCAGTTTGGAAATAATATCTCTTTCTCTCGACGCAAGAAGAGTAACTTTCTCCTTCACATTTAGCGAAAATTGCCATGTGCCGATTTTTACTAAATGCAAGGGAGGAAGTAACTCTTCCTGTGCTGATATCACTTCCACTGATCGAATCGCGCCGTGTTATACAAGAAAAGTCGCGCAAGGTCCTCTCTCTTTTCCGCCAATTGGCTTATTATTTATCACATGAAGTGATTTTTTTTTAAATCACCCTACATTTTTCGAGTGAAAGTAAGATATAGTGAAGTTTGGAAGCACGAACAATCCCGGGATTTGCTTTCTTTTCGTGGACCCGTGGACGAACGTGCCAACCTCAATTTCCGCATGAAGCCGAACAAGAAAGGAAAAGTGTGGAAAACAGAGAAAGAAATCGCTCTCACCATTTTGCTGTACTTCGCGGTTGGATTTTCCGTGGGTTTTCTCTGTCTGCTGGAGGTCTTCGCAGTTCACTCGTTCTCTCTCGCGCTCCTTCGAAGATCCTTTCTACAGGACACTCGGCATCCGTTCCGACAGATTTCAAGTTTCCCGTGGCCTTACGATAGCGTCTTCCTCCCCGGTCTCTTTTCCTTCCGTTTCGGGAAGTACACGTCAGAATAATTCCGAATATCACGCGTCGGCGTCAGAAACGTAGCGTGATGAGAGCGAGTTGATACGCTGCACTTTTGACGATCACATCGTTCGACGGACGAACCTACGGTCGGACGCGCGATTAAGATGGACAGCTCTTTCGTGCCGCTTTTTTATGGTGACTGACGTGCGCGTAACGTGCCGTTTGGTAAATATGCTCCGGTGTGGTGCGCAATGAATTCTGTGCGTTCGCGTTGCGTTGCTCTCCGGCCGTCCGGAGATACGGACACATTGGCGACAGTGTGAACTGGAAAAACTCGGTCGAATCTGCACACTATCTGAGAATTTACAGTGATAACTTACGACAGAGCTCGGAATTAGTTGGCCACTTCAGCCGATTCTCGGGAGCTACGCCTTCTATCTTCCCTTTGCCGCGAGCGGGCCACGCAAGTGACGGTCGCGGCCAGTCGTGGCTTCAAGTTTGGAGCCGTTACTTGCTAGGCCCGCTCACGGCAAGGGGAAGATAGAAAGCGTAGTTCCCGAGAATCGAAATGGGCAACTAATTCCGATAATTAGTTATCAACTGTTCTCTTCAACTTTAACCACGCAATCGATGCCCGCGCCAATTCTTCACAAGCTGCTGCAAAAATCATGACGCAAATTTTATTTGAGATGTATTGAGCAACTCTTTTTGAGACTTTTGCGATAAAATGTATTTCGTATTTTCTCTACATTTTTCACTCATATAGACTCGTATTAATGGTCGTTATTTGAAACTTGTGCCAAGAGAGATTTGAGTTTAAAGTTAGATGTGAGCTTCTCAGTTGAATTAAAACTATTTATATAATGTCACATATATCGTGTGTTCTTTAACTGAAAAACTCAAATCCAATTCTAAATTCAGATTTAAATCCAATTCTCTGAATCCGGTATCTCACATGGAACAAATTTCAAGTAACAACTACTAATACGGGCCGTAGAATCGTAGTATCGTTACACGGAGCAAATTCACTCTAATTGATTAAAACGTTTATGGGATCCAAATTCACTCTAAGTTCGAGTGAAGTATTCGCTCTTACGATTTTGTGTAGTAATATTTTTACTACCGAGTAAATTTTCACTCCTTCTGAACGAGATTACACCCTGAGAAACTTGAAGAGTACTCGATAGAAATCCTATCAAAAATATAATAACATCGATCATAGAAAAATCTTGCGAAGATGCAAGATGATGAAAACTAATTTCATAAAATTACTTTCGTAAGATTACTTTATGCCAGCGATAAAACACCCTCCTGAGAACTCATAGATTGTCAAAGAACAGCAAGCGAAATTGTCTCCTGAAATTAATCATGGCGTTGATTAACACGTTTCTATCCAAAATAGGAAAATATCTATCTATGTCATCCGCCATACTATTCGCCAGAAAGAGAGAGGGGGAGAGAGAGAGAGAGAGAGAGCTCATATATTTAATAGTTTAAAATGTTTTATTGTTTTATTTCTTCTTTAGGTTTTCTGATCAGTTAATATCAGATTCGAGAGACGATTTACGCAATTTGAAAATTATACAGTCCTTCAAATCGTAATATACATCTCTTCTTAGTATTTTTGCTCGTTAGACACAAGTAGGCGTTCATAAGGAGGCATAATGCGATGACGAGTTAAATTACAGATTAGTTAGTTTGTACTGATTTGCAATTGCTATGGTTTTCCGTACTGTGTTGTTATATGCGTGTGACGTAAATATAAGGAAAAAAAGGAACACGCCCAGGATTAAGATGAGATCTCGATTAATCGCCGCCTTCATAAATTCTACGATTCCATCACTCCGTTGTATGCGTCTATGTATGCGTAATAATTACAACAGTTTATACGCGCTCCTACAAGGTGACAGATTAAGAATTTGACGCAATAAAAAAGTGCCTGCTTTACATAAAAAATTCCCTTTCCCTTTCCCAAAGATCTTAGAATGTGTTATCCGATGAGTAAATTAATATTCATAATTATAAACTTGATAAAAACATTGCGGATATTAAATGAAATCCACTTTGGTCCGTATCGTCTTCGACTTTGCGTCAGATTTGAATATGAATAAAAATATGATAATTCTCACTGTGATCGCTATTCTTGATTATCTTTTCCTATTCTAGGTCTTATCTCCAACTATGGTTAGCTCCCAACTGTTATATCGCAACTAAACGTCGCTTCTTTAAAGGCGTAATTTGTTATTCTACTATTCTAGTATTTATATCCTTCGTTTAATGCGAGTTGTATTCGTTCCTGTGTGATCACGTGCGCTATAAACAGAGGAAAATGATGAGATAAAACCGGACGAACAGGTTAAATTGGTTTTCCTCTTCTTTCCTCGAAAAACACAACGAAATTTGGAGAAAAACTATCTGCTTAATACGTAACCATTTTCGAGTCTGATGACGACGCACCGATTACCGTGTTAATTATGAACATCCATAGATATGAGGATATTCGCGGATATCTAGGCTTATCGAGGCCTCCAAATTACCTGCTGTTAGCGTAATCGCGATATCGTTCCTGACCACCGTCAAGAAAGACGAGTGACAATGCGCATCACGATGTGTCGCGCGTCTCTTCAATTCCGACGAAGGTGGGGAATTACATCGCTCGCGGTAAGGGAGAGGCGGGAATACCAGGTGGCAAATTGTCGTGTATAAAAATGTATTTTGCGATTTACATATATGTTAATGCGGCACACTCCCAGCGTGCTCAACGTACGCTCGACGCAAACTTGCTCACTCACGCACGCACGCTTCGTTCTCCGCGACACACGAGCGAGCTTTCCATATCCATTGTTCATATTATTATCGTGCACCTCGTGTAGGTGACTTATGGCACTAGCCTTTCAGTTCGCGGAACAGCCAGGTATACGTGTCTACACTTGGCGCAAGGCTTGGCGCCTGGCAATTTATTCCCTCGTGCCGTAACAATATTTATAACCGGTTCACGTTCCGCGAAACGATCTTGCAATCGTCCACTTAGCATTCCGCTTCTTCGTTCTCCGTTTCCAAGTAAATCGCGAATAATGCGAACAACGCGAAAAGAAAACAGAAAAAAAGAAAAAAGAAGCAGCGGCACAAACCTTTTAACAGACATCTTAATTTCGATAAAACCGCCGGAAAGGAGGCCCATCTGCAATAATCTTGATCTTTGACATATTTTGTAATCGGTTAATTCCTCCTTCATTATTGAATTTTGCCGAGCGAGTAGTTAGGGAGACCCGCAATCGTTTCGCGGAATAGGTCGTTTTGATACGCGATTCGCGTTATACATATATGACCGTCCGATGCACTAAAATTAATATACGTTTGAACATTATCACCTTATAAAAAGTATTAACTGAAAGTATATGTACACGTTAATCAGAGAAAGACATTGCCAGAGTAGTGCTAGATATGTTAGAAAAAAACTGCCCCGTCTTGCTAAGTGTTACGAATCGAACCTTCCGTGCGCGTTTGCGTTAAATAAACAACTTTGCATTACATCTAACGGAGTTAAGCTGTAATATTCCAATCCATGTTATTAAACTTATAAAAAAAAAATACCTCACCGAGTGGGGATATCGAGTACGACCAATCCTACATTTAAAAAAGCACTCTCACGGCGCGCTTGGGGTATTATTAGAAACTATATCCTACTTGGCCACGGAAGGTTCAAAAATTAAAGTACGCAGGTAGCAATTGTTACATTATGTGACAGATTAGAAATAACAACAGTATTTACCGTGACTTAATTATACAACATTCAAAACACATAACAATATATCGATGCCATGAAACCTCGAAACGTCATATATTTAGTGCCGAGCGTGGCGAAAAAATATGTTGTTCAATTTCGAACATCTCGCTAAATCGAAATTGGAACAACAAAACTTCATCCTGGAGTAGAGGAAACGTTATGTTATTTAATATGCACGATATTTTTCTCTTCTTTCGTAAAAAAGCGTCGATTGTTAGTCCTTAGGGCTATATGGTCGTGTCTCACATTAAACGGACGTTACAAATACGAAACTGTCTCATGACATTATACTTGTAATTGCGATACAATTGGAAAAGACTCACATCCAACTTTAAATTCAAATTCGAGCATCTTATATAAGACTTTGTTTTGAGTGACGACAACAATATTAATTGTTATTAACACATTCGCTACCACGGCTTATTTAGATGACTTTTCCCACAGATCTCTCTTCTCGCACTTTCCTTCTTTTTTTTATATAATTGTATAAAATAGATTTGATTTGATAACCTGGCTATAAAGAATATTTTGTTATCACACATAGAGTGCGATTTATTAAGAACTACAAATGTTTTAAAACGCCATGTGGACCAATTATAGTTTTTCTTTAAAGGCTTCAAAGTTTTTGCAGCGTCTAATGTATCGCACCCATACATAAAAGATAGAGTCTGGCCAGTGTTGCCCCTCAAAATGACGTTTTTATATTTATATGGTGATGATAACTGCTGTCAGCAAAGTATATTGCGAATATCAAATAAAACATGCTCCAAGTTACTTTTTTCATCATTTTGTATCATCATTAAAATAAATGTTAATTTGTAAAATAAATGTAAATTTGATGTTTGAAGTTTTTATCACTTATTATCACGAACGCCATGATAAAGGTTAATATATAATCAATAAAAATTTGTTAAACGTAAAATAAAAATGTTAAAAATTATATCTTTTTCCATGGAGTGAAGTCTGTGAGTGAGTTAGTTTGTAACCTCTCACAATATGATAGACTACTGTGATTCTGCTATTTTGAGACCTGCAAACTAAATCAATGGAAAAAGATTCGAAGAATGGTCAGACTCTATCTTCTGAAGATACTAGTCACACATATGTAACATTTGTCTCTAATGAGAGATCATTGCGTTACATACATATGATGTTGTTAGCGAACATGTTAAGTTAATATAGATCTGAAGTCCTAGAGCACACAGAAAATCATAAAGCAGTAAGGAAATTGACCAATCGTAATCGTTTATTCATAGACCGTGAATAGAATAACCGGTTGCGATTAGTTAATTTGTTTACTGCTTAAATTTTACTGCTTGAGTTTTCCTATGTACTCCTGGCCTAAGAAGCGCGCGATTTTCCTTGCTGGTTCACAACTTGAGCGATATACAGCTACATATGTTGTTACAATAACAATTTCCCCTATATTTTCGCGCGATTAACAATTGTATCGTATCGGTGCTTGCTCTCTCGCAGTCTCGGAAGTTCGCTTCTGATGAACATACATGCCCCGTACATACGTTCGCGAGACGAAGCGACGAGGAGTCCAATTCACGTGGTGTGCTCCCGAATACTCTCGCTAATTGCACTTTTTCCGGTATTACTAAAGTTACATAAACTACTTTCGTGGAGATCAGTCTTACATGCGACAACCCGCGACGCGACAGTCGTCGCCGAGCTCGTTCCTGCGCTCTTCTCGTCGTTATCATGATTTCTTGTAGAACACCTTTTTGATGACTTCCTTCCTGTCGGCTGAGACAAGAGCCAAGGGCGTTTTACCCTGCCGGTTCTGTATGTTCGTGTGACCTCCGGCTTGTATTAAGAGCAAGCAGACCTCCTTCTGTCTCTCCAAGCTCACGGTATTCGAAACCGCCGCGGCCATGTGCAGCGGCGTGTTGTACATGTAGTTGGTCTCGTTCACGATGTCCGGAGTGGCTTGGCACAGCAACACCTGTTGAGCGTAGAAAAGCGTTGAGCGTGATTCACGTGAAAACGAAAGCCGAGCCCGCGCGACATCATCAGAATCGAAACAGAAGCATAGCTAGCGTAGATAGGTGCGTTGCGTCGAGAATTTGATCGCGTTGGGAATTTCACTCCTCTCTCGCTCTTACTCTCACTCTCCATCCTCTGTTTTTCTTTTTATTCCCTTGCAAAACATCAGTTTCAACAAAATTCGAAGTATTCTCTCGGATATTCGTATCGCTCATCTCATTAATCTTCTCGATATGTTTGTTTATTAATTTTCAGAAAAGAGCGATTTAGCAATGGGGTGCGTCGGATAGTCGGCGCGTATTCGCGTTATCGAGCACTTGCGCTGCTTACAAACTTTCGACCTGAAAACAGGTCGTTTCGGTCTACTGGAATGATCCTTCAGAGAATTATCGAGCGCGGTGTTACGTAATGCAAAAGTAAGAGAAGTACACGATGCATTGAAGTGCCAACTTTTTATTGTGTAACACATTTTCCTGTAATTTTTAACTGTCAGATTCGATAACGCTATCGTGCGATATAGTGCGCCGCACGGGAAGTTATCGCGTAGTGTGGTTCTGGGTGAATGAGTGAAATTGCTCTCTCTCTCTCTTGTTTCCTACGATCACTTTACAGGATTAATACTCTCTTTCGACACGCTAGTCGGACGTGAAGGAAAGCGATTAAGAGAAGTCACTTCAGTTTATGGGATCAATCATAGACACATGAGAATATCTGGACGAAGAATGTGTTGGTAATTCAGGCAAAGGGGTGATCAATTCGCTGCAGGAGGAAGTCACAATACTTCAGGTTATTCAACTTGACGCGCTACTATTCGACTCGTACGCATTTGCTTTGTGTAAACTTCACTTCAATACAGCTTGAATACTCTTTCCCGAACGAATACACTTCAGAACGTATCAGACCAATGAGAAAACTTCTGGGAATTAATCAAAAACAAGTTCACCAATTGGGTCATTGTTCTGAAATGCATCAAAAGAAAAATACTTAAAGCGTACTGAAGCAAGATATATATCTTACAACACGTTGACATACTGACTGATAATAAATTGATGTTGAAAATTTCTTTCAGAAATGTTACTTCAGTTTGTAGTGAAAATGCTGGTATAGAGCTGAAGATATCCGAAGAAGTCGCGGCGGAAGTACCCAAATTGTTCCCCTTACTGCTAATTAAACCCTATCCCCTCGTAGAATGCTCCGCCCAGATGTTCTTCAGTCAATGGAATCAACATTGCGGTCGAGTCATGCGGAATGTTTCATAGATCGCACGAATAAAATCTCTCTTCGGAGAAACGGACGATATCACGATCATATTTCTCGTGTAGCCTGTGTTGCAACAGTTTGACACTTCAATTACGCTTGAACTTCGGATTACGTCTCAATTAAGATAAGGTCCGCCCGAACTTCACCGCGAAACGTATCCGCCCGTCGTAATCGACTCTGGGAAGATCCTCTTGGGTTTATATCGGCGACAGAGACGTTTCATTGGGATCCCGCGAGGCGTACAGAGCGTAAGCGGACTTGCATAAACCTCAAAACTCAATTAGACGCGATCGGTGGCGCGCGATAATGACAATTTCGATTTCACAAGTGACGCACGGGCCCGGAAAGTCCCTCAGGTAAATTACCTTGACGAGCGCGGGATCACAGCTCAACGAGGCTGCCATGTGTAAGGCGGTGTCGCCACACCTGTTCTCCTTGACCCTGGCGCTCGCGCCGTTCTCCAGAAGCAGTCGCGTCGTGGCCAAGCATTTGACATCTCGTCCGATAGGATCGTGCGTTTCGACCGCCACGTGAAGCGCGGTCCTACCTGCAAACGCAAACGCGTTCCTTACACCTCTTATCGACCTCAGATTCTAGTTACTCAACTAACCGACCGTGCGCATTTCTGCTCAACTAACCGTCGTAATTGCACCTGGACAGATCAAACACGGGACTCCCTTCTAATGTCCTCAATGCCAACAGCTCCGCCAAGACCTCCCCGTGAGAGTCGCCACGTGCCGCAATCGAGTGTATCAGCGTGTCGCCCTAAAGCGAAACAAAAAGAGAAATGACGATCAGGAAATTTCGCTCGCCGTCGCGCTTGAAATTATCCTCGACACTCATTAATCGCGCTAATTTGCCTTTTTGTCCACACGTGTTGACTGCCATGCTATTTCCGCTTACGCGATTATCCAATAATCGCGTGCAATAATCACTTGTGTATGTGTACGGATTTATTAATAAAACGGTATGTGCTATTCATATAATTACTTGGTAATTATACGATAAGAAACACTCCCCGAGCAAATCGAAGTCAGTCATCCAAAGACACTCACGAGAGTATGATCTTTGCGTTTGATCGAGAAAATAATCGTGTGTGTACGAAAAGCGAATTAATGAATTGTCATCGCGACTTGGTTCGCGCGGCGAGCAGTCTTGAGAAATCTCAAGGAAACTCACGCGTATGTGATACAATCTCTGGGTGATATCGATCCGCTTCTGCACCATTGCTGCGGCCAGGTATCCGGTGACGTACGACATTTCCGGACAATTTATCGCGGCCAAGTATAGAGCGTCCTCGCCGCGATTGTTCACCATTGACAGCGCGCCCGGCATGTTGCCCAATCTTTCGACCAACGGCGCCAGATAGGCCTTCTTCTTCGCTAGCTCGTCCGGATTGCCCACCAGACGCATCAGTGCCCTGTCACGCGCGAACATCAGTGATTACAGTGAATCATTATTTTGAACTCTCTTTTGTCGATAATTTCTAAATGTGATCTATATATAAGCGTTTCGATTGGCTTACAAGCATACTCAGAGACACCTCTGTCGATGCAAGAGAGTTCAAAATGGTAACCTAAGTAATTATTATTCGAGAAAATGCAAAACGGATGGTCTCGTTGACGCGAAAGCTTCGCATACACGTCGACTGTTTCGCCGGTGGCTATAAATAGGCGGAATAACGCAATGCTCTATCTTGAGATTATCAATTAATGCGCGCAATGTACGCTATGTATGATATACTTTTTGAACTTGCTCTTTATGCACATTATATTCGTACGTTTATACTTGAAGCGGAATGAATCACTTACGTATCGCCATCCTCGTCCACGGATGCCAGTTCCTCTATGGACTTCTTCAAGAGATTACTCATGGCTCTTTCCACTTCCTTAGGATGTAATCCTTCCTTCAGCCTCTCGCTCGCTCTCACGGATGGTAAATTTAGCGAAGGCCATGGCATTATGCCTCGATTAGACTTTCTGCGACAAAACAGTCTGGTTAAACCACACCTTTTATCATTTGATCAAGTGGTAGATATGATAATTGTTCAAACGCCAGTCAACGTGAAAGCCACAGCTTTCAAAAACTTTGTACGACCAATACGACTAATAACAATAATCATTAATTAATGATAACTGTGTGGAAAAAACTTTCAAAGGCAGAACTTTCAAAGCTTCACAATACGCGACCAATTTCTCGTGTAAAGAAATTAATCTTATTTTTCCAAGATGATTTTTCAAAAGCATTTTTATTTCGTAGATATTTTCTGATAACGCAATGATATTTTCATCTTATCGAAGGCACGTGTTACGTTTATCGAATGTACAAAACATGTGAGACGCGTGGCAAAAGAAAGGGCAGTATGTATGTAAACAATCTGTCTTGTGAATACAACGTTTGCGAAACTTTACCAGCTCGTAATAATAACCGAAGTTGTAGACATTGTATCAATAGATAAAAATAGTCGGTCGACACTTTGACATCATTTTGTGTATTGATATTTTTTTTTTTAACTTTTGATATGAGACATCTCTGAAGCGACATTTCTTTTATGATAAGCTGATAAAGATTTGATAAAGAATAAACTAGAGTTGACCATCGGTTTACCAACCGAAGGAAACGTTCGATAGGATACGAATTTTTATTTGCGACACGGAATCTGCGTAAATATTCTTTGTTTTGCGCTATTTTTACTCCGCTACTTTTATAACTGACAGCATTTCTAATCGTTGACGTTTATACAGCTATTGAAGATAGTTGGTTAAAACATTAATGTTTACTTATTTGTTACGTAAGTAATTGTTAATTGCAATATATGAGTGTTGCGCACTGACAACTGCGGTAAGCCTCTCATATATGCCACTACGTCGGAATTTATTTTCAATTTGCAGTTAATCTCGCATCATTTGCACCGAACAATATTAGAAGTGCGAACATCTCATTTGATATACAAAACAGCCAATTTATTGCGTCTCGTATCTGTTACGATATATCTGCCATTAATTCTTATTACGCAACTATAACGCGCACGCTTAGGATTATCTTTGTGTTTCACGATCACGATGTGTAATTCAAATGGCATACCTCTTTCCAGGAAGAAGAAACTTTGATTTAATGAGAGTGCTTTTTCTCCAGCTAACGCCGCGCAATTTCTACATTCAAGAATCAGAGAAGTGACATTTTTCTTCCTCTCATCATCAACACTTTGCGGATCACCGTCGTCTCCCCAGCTTTCCCTCTACCCCTCTCTCTCTCTCTCTCCTTCTGTTTTTCTTTCTCGCATTCGCCTACGTTTCGTATCTCGTAAGACGCGCATTTTTTCGAGGATGTCGTCGTAGAAGCGAGCTTACCTTTGTGGGCGGTTCGGAGGCACGAACGAAGAAACCATCGTCGGTATCTGGTAATCGTTAGGCACGTACATCGCCGACGGCTGGTTGTATCTTCTCTCCAAGTTCTGATTCTCAGGGTTCCTCACGGACCTCTCGGGCCCGATTAAGCCGCCGATGTTGCACAAGGTATTGTGCTGCGACACGTCGACCTGGGCGCTCTTCACGCCGGGCTCATAATACCTTTGCTCCTGGATGGTCGTGTGACCGTTAACCGCGCGATTCACGAAGGTGCAACCACCGGTACCTTCTTTCGTCGTGTAGACAGACACGAGACTGCCGTCCATCAAGCTGCGGACCATGGGGTTCGTGTTGGGCATGCTCAGGCCGCAATTCTCCGGCTTGTTGCTTAGCGCGAGGTTGCTCGAGGTACACTCCGCGGAATTGCTTTGTAAGGTACGTGCAGGTATGCATTGATTGCTGTATGTTGATGGAAAATAAGGCGCGCTCGAGGCGATCTGCGGCTCCTTTAGCGTCTTCCGTTGCTTGTCCTCCTCAATTACCTGCTCCACCAGCTGAAGTAACGCGCAGTCGATGGTGTCGCTACTGTTGACGATCGTTCCCGAGGAGTCGTAAGTCTCCTTCCACCCGGACAGAACGTCGAAGCGGTCGCCGAGGTGTTCCTCGATCTGATAGTTCAAGGGTGTCTGGTAGTTGGACGGGCTGGACGCGTCGCCATAGGACTGATTGGATGAGGACGAGGAAGACAACGCCTGCGGTACTCGATAAGTCGACGCAACCTGTTAAAGAGGCCGACCGATTAATTTGAATTATCTGCCGCGAACCCGTGTTGCACATGTGCGCCAAAGTAAACGACAAATGACAGTCATAACGTCAATTATGCGACTGCTCGAGCATTTCACGGGACTTGTCAAATTATGATAAAAGTGTTTCGTCAGATAACGATGGAAATAATGTGACGTGCACCACACTTGGAGGCGATTCCTGATATGGATTCTTCTAAGAATGAAACTGACTGTTCTCTCTTCTCTCCCGTTTTATTTTTACCGCAAGAATCATGAATCTAATAATGAAGAAATCGCATGAGACATACGTTAGGTGAACTGCAAATCTCTGTTACTAACCCTTGAGAAAATTATCCGAATAAAATTCTCATTGAAAATTAGGAGATAAATCAATGAAATTCATAGGCTGCATTGGCTCTTATTTATTAATATCAATGGACTTTATATTTATTAATATAAAATTTTTATTACTTCTTAACACAAAATTATCGTCTATGAGGAGTCATGATTCGTTCAGACCAACAATAAGTTGCCAACGGCTTGTGTATACGCCGCGAATAAATTTGACACAACGATTTCATCATCTTTGCGCGGTTCGTGAACTCGCTCAATGGAGAAATCGTTGTTTCAGCGGCATACCTAACGTCACGTGCTTTCTCGCGTTGCCCGCGAAAAAAGCCCTTTCTCGCCGACGCCTGTCCCGCTCGCGTGCGGATTCGCCGAAGCGCATATACGCGCGTAAACTCATGCATTTATGTAGATGCTGCGGGCTTACCTGCGGTGAACCGAGCGGACTGTCGATCACATTGACGTGCATCTGCGGTGACTCCAGGTTCGCGCCAGAGCCAGGTGATTGCGCGCGACTCGACGCGCGACTGTTCGACCTCGAGACGACGTAGTTGTAGCTGCTCGCTGGCGAATCCGACCAAGTTTTCGCTCCCGGCGACGGAATTGAGTGACTACCGGCGTCCGAGAGCACCGCGGCTTGAAAACCGCCGCGCGACAGGATGTCCATCAAGGACTCCTCGCCTGGGTCATTGACGACTATGGAGGGAAGTGGTGCGGTCTGAAATGAGATAAATCCTCCTTTGTATCAAGACTCTGGCGAATGCTTCCTGCGTCGTATCGTTACGACAGCACACACGCGCGATCTCTTACGCCTCCTCTTATCGCAAGTTGCACAATTATGTAATTGCGTATGGAATTTCAATGAAGATATACAAGAAAATATCCTCAATGATATTCCCTTGTTTTTATAACACGGTAAAGTGCGCGACGTCTTGTGATACGAATTTTTCGAATGTTCTATTTAAAAAAAACTTTGCTCGGTCTTTTTATAAGTCTTTTAATAGTTTTATAATGGGATCTTTCGATATACTTTTATAATAGTCTTTTAATTTCTTCTTTTATAGTATGAGTTATCATTTGATAACTCATACTATAAACAGCTAGGTATTTTTAAACATGTCATATATCGGCCAGTGATATATTCTTTGATAGATTAGTGACAAGACACGAGAGAAAACAAATAATGTGTGCACTCACGTCGCTGCCGGGTTCGCGGAACATACTGTCGTTGGCGTTCTCTCCAGTCCAACCGGAGTCCATAGTCAGACCGCCGACTATCGCCCCGATCGACAGCTGATTTCGGCTTGAGTTCGACAGCTGGTCCAGGCAGGAATTCATTTTCTCGCTGTAGTCCTTGTTTCTCAGGATCAGCTCGGCGGTCTTATCGTAATCCACTGCGTGAACGGTGTCCACGTTCTCATTGGACGCGCGCGACAACCAGCTCACCATGGAGTAAGGATGTTCTCGGAGGGACTGGAAGTCTGGCTTGATCGGACCACGCTCGACCAGATCGGAATCATCGGAGTCATCCTCGTGCTTCTGCTGTCGCTCCTGCTCAGACTCCTCGTCCTCATCCACGTCGGAGTCTTGGTCCTCCTGCGGACGACGTTGCTCTTTGTCGCGAGGCTTCTCGTAACAGTTCTTCTCGACTGTCACGTGATCTTCGTTATTGTTGATGTCTTCGTTGTCGACATGGCGATTTGTTCGCAATTCGCAGGTGTCCCGATATTCTACATTGTCCACGTTCTTGTGAGCGGTGCGACGCGACGTCTTGTTGATGTTCTCATTGGCGTCCTCATCCTCCTCGTTCTCGTCATTGTCGTCCTCATGGTCGATATTGCGCGCGAACCGCAGGTTCTCGATTTTCTCGATAATATCGTCGAATTTGACTAGCTCCTTGCGAAAGTCCTCCTCGGGGTCGTAGCTCTTGTCAGCGTCCGCGCTCGAACGGTAAGATGTGTCCGGGCTGGTGGACATATCCTCGGACTCGGTTGACCCGTAGTCCTCCTCCAAGGAGCTCACCGATGAATAATCCGGGATCGAAACGCGTTGTAACGTTAGTTTCTCGATCCGTATCGGCGAAACTCGACTGGTATTCGCCATGTTTCCCGTCTCTGGGTTTCCCCTAACTTCGCGTAATATATATAGTGGACTGCTTAAGCGGAATCGTGTCCAAGAATCTGCGAAACGTGAACAGCAAGAATTAATTGATTTTCTTCTTATTATATGATACTACTATGATACGTACATTCGCGTAGATATTTTCTATTACGATTATATCAACTTTTCGAAGGAAAACATTTATTAAAATTTAATCATTATTATAATATAATTTAATCATAATTTATCTCTGTAATAATTCAAAACAATTCAGCTGATGAATAAAAGCTAAAGTTCTCAACATTGTATATAGATTTGCTCGGTGAATAACAGTGTATTGGGGGAATTACATTATGTGTTTGCGAATTTCTGTCAATGTAAACCGTATTTTACGGCACTTATAACGTTAGCTTTCAATTTTGTCTGATTCAGCTCTTTTTCTGTTTGCAAGAACGTAGCTATACTGAGAAGGAGAAATTATTAATGCTAAAATTATAGTTATTTTCGACTGCAGTTATCTTTTTGTTGATCTAACGAAAAAAATAGCAATAGCAACATGCACATGTAAGGTTATCATCACTAACACTACAATAACACTGCAAAAATCGTTCTCTTAACTATAAATCTTTCGCTATGCGATTATAGTTACAAATACTAAACACTTTTCTCTCCGTGCCCGCGTATGCATCCACTGCCATCAGCATACTACCATCTATAAACTACGAGAGTGCTTTCCACGGCTATTATACGCGTTGGTATCGCGGATCGTTGTTTCCACTGAAAATGCTATCGTTCGATAATGCTGTTCTTCGGCGTCGCGCATTGTCTGACAGAAAAATACGTATCGCCGCGTTTATATTTCCACGGTCAGGCCGAGGGTCTGCACGCGAACAGTCAACGGGTAAGAAAGCGAACAACAGAACGGGAATAATGATTCAGCATTACATATTACGAGAAGTGCACTATACCGACTGCGCGCGTAATTGCGAAAATGACTGTTTTATGAGATCACAGTAAAGAAAATTGATAAACTTTCACCCTCAACGAAGGGTAATCCGCCGGACTGCTGTCAGCTGCTATTACACTGTAATTCGCAATCTTCGGCTGATAACTCAGCATGTTCGTTGTTCGCTCGACTCTAGACTCACTGCGGAAATTTGGAGCAAAGGTTGGCCGAACGATTGCGCTTGAGCGCAGATATTTGATTAACAGATTTTCCCAATAAAGCTTAACCTCGCGTCGGATTAAGGATCTAATTAAAATGAAACGTAGCCCCGCGCACGGAAGCACGAACAATGGACAAAAAAATACAAGTGAGTCTACGGAAATAAAAGCTGGCGCAGCAATTTCGTCATACGGAGGAAACGTTATCTCGTTTTGTTCTCCCAATTAATGCAAATCTTGTTTGCTGCCAAGATTCGCTTCCATCTCTCTTTGTCTCTCTCTCTCTCTCTCTCTGCTTCTCTAATTTTGCATTAATCAAATCCTAAATTAAAATTTTGTTACAATCCAATTAAAATTAAAGAAGTGCTCAAGAAATAAATTCATTACCTTACTTATATTGAGAAAAACGAATCTTACTGAAAATTCTCTTCCATCCCATTCTAATCGTTAATAATTTTAAGTCCAGTAATGTCCAGTATTGAAATAAAAGATACTTATCTTTTTAATTGTATCCTTTTAAAAATTGGCTAAAAAGCTACATTGAGAAAAAATATTTGAAAATTTAACTGCGGAATATAAAGTTTATTCACAGAAATAAACTTTATGTCGCAAATTTTACATCTCATAAATTTTCAAGTATTTTTTTCTAAACTAGACAGTTTTCTGTGAGCTAACGACTCCGTTGAGTAAATACCTGCGATGAATAAAACTCTGTTCACATGTCAAATCTATGAGCCAAATTTCCTTGACAAAGTATCTTTTACGGTTCTCTTTCTAGCATCTAGCAGCTGACAAGACGTGGCGCGCGCGGTCTCAAGAGGCACTATGTATACATCGCGGAAAGTGGGCACGCGCGTTTGTGGGAAAATTACGGTGTTTCCAAGTAATCGTTAATTTAACATACCCCGATGAGTGTTTTTTTTTAATCGTGCACGCAGTTTTCAACATGCGATTACTGATCAAGCGAGCGCGTGAGAGGCGTGCATATTGCACGACAACAATATACGACTACGTAATATTGTGTTGCTCAATAAATAATTTTTGCCGGAAAAATCGAAGAACACGGTATCCTTCGCAGGAAATTCGATTCCGCTATCAATAATCTGCAGTGTAACGTAATGTTTGAACGTTTTCTCATTATCGACGATTTTTTGTTGGCAAATGACTGATGATAAAAGATTTCCCGGGAATGAAATCTCGAAACGAGATAGAGGGACGGGCGAAGATTTGACTCGTCATTTGACTTTACATAATACTTTAAACTAATACACGCTATCGCCGACGAATATGTTGGGTTTCGAAAGTTAAATAGATTGCGACTCGTCGGAAGTTCAGCTCGGCATTTTATTGAGAGTGGAATATGGAAATTGAAGAATGCCTAATCATTATTTATGTCTGGAAATTATTCATCGTGTTTCTGCGGTGTGTGTCTGAATCGATATTAATCAAGGTAGATTAAGCAAGTTGAATTGTTCTACCGCTTGGTTTACATACACTTAGTTGGAAAACATTGCAGAAGCGAGACTTGTCTCTCCCACTTCTCCCACAGAGGAATCACAAATAGCGAGAGAATCAAATGTACATATTGTTCTTAAATTTTCGTAATTGTTCTATTATTTTTATTATTATTATTATTACTCGTGGTTTTACCGAAATCGAAATACAAGTTCGACCTACTTCTGCCCAATTTACAAAAGTCGGTATAACCACTTGAAGATTTGAGACTATGTACACTGAGAAAAGTACTTATAACTATAATCACATAGAGGAATAATTATTACAAATTATGGTGAAAAAAAATCATTTTTTTAATTAAATCCTACTGTAATGTTAGTGATGGTAACTTGTATGTTACTATTACCATTTTCATGTTATAATAATTAAAAGATATGTTTGGGGCCAAAAATAACTATGATGTTAGACGAAGCATTTTTACCTCTCAATGTAACGAGTTTGACTCGTGACGTGTATTTTGTATTCAAATACGAAAACAAGTCAGACTCGACTTTGCGAAGAAATAGGTTGATTTTTGAAAATATTTCTCAATTTAAATTTTGTTATCTATTTATCTATCTATCTATCAAGAGAGAAAGGGAAAGGGGGAGAGAGAGAGAGAGAGAGAGAGAGAGAGAGAGAGAGAGAGAGAGAGAGAGAGAGAGA